GCTCGGCTATCTTCGGCTCCGCTCGGCTCTCTTCGGCTCCGCTCGTGATGTCACCGCGCATAGCTGGCAGGATGCGGGGTGATTACTCGCCTATTACGCGAGCGTTAAGTTACCGCTGAGGGGAGGGAGGGGAGCGCTGACTCACCCGCCGCGTCACTGCTGGTGTGAGGGGGGGGCTCGGCTTTGCGCAACATGTCACACTGCTCCCTCCTTAAGACAAACTGGATCAAGGACTGGACATTATGGAGGGGTCGACCCCCTCCAAAACGAAAAAGACTTCAAGCAGAGGAGGAACCGGTGATGTAGATGAACCGGCCTCCCCAGAGAGAATGAGTGTGCCATAGAATGGAAGTAATGGATGAATGGGACACAACTGGATCATCTGGCGAGCTGAAAGGAAACCGCTCGAGACGAGTCGAGACGTAGAGTCAGCCAGTCAGTTGTATTCTGGCATTTGGAGTGTACTAATTGTGATACTGCAGATAGCAGTAATCGTAAATCTGTAATTTGGGTGATTGTATGAGCGAATGTGAAATAAAATTCGCTTACATCAAATACGGCGTGAAGTTATTTGTCGCGATATACGCCCGATACGCGACAATACTTATCTCCTAACGGAATCATAGGATTTCTTGAAGTCTATTAATACCTGATGTACTGTCTCATTGTACTCCCATTTTTTCTCAAATATCTGACGAATGCATAAGATCTGATCTGTAGTCGATCTGTTACGTCGAAAGCCACACTGATGATCCCCAATAATTTCATCTATATATGGACTTAACCTTGAAAGGATACTGGACAAAATTTTCTATGAAGTTGATAGCAGTGATATCCCCCGATAACTGTTATACTAATTAATACAAATCAATGCCTTTTGTCTTGCAGTCTTCAACAAATGATGCGAAATGGAATTCTGAAGGCAATTGAAGGAAAGTATTTACCATTCGCAGTCACCGACGACAATATCAGGCCTCCAGAAAGCTTGAGTTTGCTGAAGACGATGCCTGTCTTCATTACATATCTTGGAGGAATCTTCGTTTCCATTGCTTGCTTACTAATTGAACTGCAGGTGCATCGAAGGCATCTACCTCATCGTGCCTCTTTCATCAATTGATCTTTCTGAAGAAGTTCGATAATGGAAATATACGATTTTAACTAATCGACTTTTGTTAGATCATGACAGCCGAAACATGATCTGCTCTGAAGCTTTCCCTTCAAAGTGTTTAGTGATGAGTCAAGTGGTTTATTATTAAGTGGATCTATTATACTCTTAAAAACAGAACTATAAAGAATTACTCGTATTATGCTATTGCTTATTCACACACACTGTACCATTTCACTATACCTTCTATGTCTTCAACAGGCGTTGCCTGCCAACGAATCCCCCCAATTTTTTCCTCTGCTTCCGTGCCTACGCCCCTGTCCTCACACGTTCAAGCTGTTGGGCCAGGTTAAACAGCCTCATTAATCTGTACGAATACCACGTCCGATCTTGCCCATTGTCTGAGGTATATTTGACGTCCACAACACAACACATTTCTTCCGGAAACTGGATTCGTTTTCGTCGTCAGGCGTATAGAGGGAAATATTTCCACTTAGGCTTGTTCGAAAGACTTCGCCTCTATCACAGGATTAGCTCCTTCTAGTGGACTCAAGTAGATTCCTTTTCCTTCTTCACCTGATGATAAAAGCAAATCCCATTTTCGAAGAAAGAAACGTTGCGTGTATCAGATATACGAGTATCCCAGTCAACTGAAAATGTTCAACGTAATATTCTCACAGCGAATTAAATACTGTGACAAACGTTCACAGAATAAAGAAAAAACGATGCCTCCAACAATTATTCTACTGTTGCGTTTACTTGTCGCGGGAACGCGACTATCGAGTCGCTGCCTAGCAGCGCTACCCGGGGGATGAGAGGAATTTACGAAGTACGCCGCTGTTCTATCCCAGTATTTCAGGGATACTCAGGTTCAATGTATGGTATGGTTAAATTAACAGACAACACATTACATAAAACAGCATTTTATTACCAAAATAATGAACACTTGATGAAATATACGGGCACAATAAGTATTCTCCGTAACGGTGCGGAAGCCCCGCCTCACTCGCAGTGCTTGTTTCTTTCCTCTCTGAAGTTACAATGAGACGCCTCCGCCGTTTCGGTTCGCCAGCCCTCGCGAGCTTCATGCCGCAAACAGTGGTAGGTCTGTCCTCACATGTCGAATGGGGAGACCAATCAGTAAATAATTTGTTTAGTCTCCGCGCCGGCCTGGTTAGACACGCTGGGAGTTGGTCCATAGCTTTCAAAAGGATATTTAAAATTCTTTAGCGCTGTGATGTATACCATCGACCACACATGAACATCATACACACAACAATAATGCACCACCCCCACCTCTATATATATATATATATATATATACACACACACACACACAAAACGTTAAGATGGGGCTCAGGTACCATGATATACATACCAAGTTTTATGAAGATTGCTTCAGAAATTCAGAATTAATATGGCATGAGGATACACACACACAGACAGCATTAGACAGGGGCCAGTGCTAATCTTCAGGGTCCAGCTGTTCTACCGCCGGGGATAGAAGGGTAGGTGGACGCCACAGGTTATCTGGGCGATACGCAGGCAAGAATAATATCTCCGCCTGCCAGAAATCGAACCCAGATTCTTCGTTAATCCGGCCATTAGTGCAGTCGCTATGACAGGATAACTGTGAAAACAAAGGCAATTAATTATAAGAAGGCTGTGGTATTTCATGCAGAGTTACCACCTTGCATTTGCCTGGACAAATGGCTAAGGAGCGTATCCCAAAGAAAATATTATACAGTACAATAGGTGGTAGGAGACGTGCTGGGAAACCAAGAACTAGATGGATTGATACGGTGGAAGAAGATGCAAAGAAGTTAATGGACGTAAGGAACTGGGAGAGAGCAGCGCAGGATAGAGAGGAATGGAGGGGCTTGATAAGGGAGGCCAAGGCCCGACATCGGGCTGTTGCGTCATAGAAGAAGAAGAAGAAGATTTGCCTGGACAAGCCGATCTATATTGCTTCATACCTCAGCTAGAATTGCTGTTACACAAAGTAGAACCTTACAAATCATTTCTGTACTGTTGTGTAAAATATTAAAATCAAATTGTAACGTATTATTAGCCTTACAATTGTAGACTAGTATGCTCACTTAAATTTAAATCAACTATACTATGCTACAAGGGTTACAGGAATCTGCAAAAGCAGAAATATTATATGAAACATACCTTTACACGTGTCTACTTCAACGGTGAAATTCTTTGACATCCCTGGCTATAAAAAAGCCAACAGTTCTTGTTAAACGTATCTTTCTCTTTCACTCTATGTGGCGAGGAACTATCTGATCTGTGCTTAAATTCCAACAATTATATCTTACCCAGTATGAGCTTTTAGTGAACGACCAGCACCTTCACCATATCTGTAACTGTTAACATTAAAAGAAAGAATTACAAGGGATTATTAGGTATGTTTTTCATATATTGAGACTATAAAACTTCACATGTGTTATCTGATTGGTTCTTTAGTTACTGCGATCAGACAGAAAACTAATAGACCCACAGGTTTCAAGCAGCCACCATGACATTTTATTCTTACGTTCAAGAGGTACTCTCCTAAGAAAAGTTGTACAGTTATCGAATATTTATTACTTACTTATGGAGCTGAGCCCTTCTTGTGGAGAAGCCAAATCTGCAGCTACTCAAGAATGAATATTTATTATCATACAAAATGTTAAGCACTAATGTTTCTCCCATAGCACATGTACGCATGGTAGCCATGTTGACATAACTGGTGACATCCTACCAAGCTGTGGTGACCTCATATGACGCTCCTTCCAGTCTTCTTTAACATATCTGAAGTGGTTCTTATGCTATTATGTTATATTACTTTAATTTTTTAATGAAATAATGCACAGTGTAATAAAAGTAACTGAACCGAATGATAATTGTAAATTGCTGGGGTGCCAAAATTATTTGATAATTACTCATACAGCTCATCTTAATTAGTGTTAATAAATTAATGTAATATTAACTTTCTTTTCTGGGGCATGGGGTAGCGTAGTTGGTTGAGGCAATATGCTATAAGCCAGAAGGTCGCGGGATCGAATCCTGATGAGGTCCTTGAGTTTCTTTCAATTTACCTAATCCTTCCAGCCGCACTATGGCCCTGGGGTCAACTCAGGCTCTAACAGAAATTAGTACCAGGAACATTCTTGGAATGTTCTGGGTGGTAAAGGGCGGCCGGCGCATAAGGCTGACCTTACCGCCATCTATGAGCCGATTGTCTAGAAAATGTGGGAAGCTCAACATCTCACAACCCTATGGGCCTCCACAGCCTGTTACAGGAATAGCCTTTTTTACTTTTTAACTTTCTTTTCAATACGCTTATATCCCTTAGTTCAAATATGAACACAGAATGGGATTTCTAGGAAAGGACCGCCCGTATGGACGATAAAAACTTAAGTATCTGCACTCCTCCTCTGCACAGGTACAATCGAAGGAACAACAGGCGGAAAATCAAAGAAGTTCATTTGACATATGTTATTGCCAGGTGTCAGTAAGTACTACGCTTACGGTGTTCGCGAATGTAACGTTGTGTGGTTTGGTGGGTAGAGACCAATGTTTCGGATTGTAGTCTGGTGTTTCAGTCCTCCTGGTATCAACCCTAACCCGTTCTTGTCCATCAGGTAAAAGGTAAAGTTATTCCTGTAACAGGCCATGAAGGCCCATAGGGTTGTGAGATATTGAGGCTCCCACATCTTCTAGACAATCAGCTGACAGATGGAAGTAAGGAATCGAAAGCACAACCTTCTGGCTTATCACATGGTGTCTGAACCAGCTCTGTTTGCTCTTCTTGCTACATTTATCCTTCTCGCCTGAAGTCTGATCAATATCAGTTAAATATCAATGTTATTCCACTGACGTAATCAGTACGCATTATGATGCTGGAAACTAAGTCTGATCGAATTCACCTATGAATAATATAAGCAGCTCAATTAACCTGTTGCATGCGTTCATTACATAATGCTGTTCCTTGAAAATCCATGCCTGAAGACGAACCAGGGTGTGTTACTGCACATACCATTACGTCAGTATTAAAATGTTACTAGACACCATTTTCAACATACTTCTCATATTCATACACCAGTAGTAAATTCAAACATATTCAGTTAATACTCTTCTCACTAGATGGCAGTGGGTATGTGTGGCTGATCCAAATGGACTGCAAGCACAGTATTGTGAAAATATAATTAAATAACCACTTTTATTGAGGATAATACTACTGTTACATTGCTTAGAAACACTAATTTTCTGATATGTTTATCACCATTTTGCAGTAGTGATTAATTCTTCCCTCTTTCTAAAATGTTGCTTGGTAAAGTTCACCAACTTCTGAAAACCTATGAATCTCTTCATTGTGAATTTCAGTACAACAGGAACTTCAATTTTGTTTTTGTCAACACCAGATCACATGTGATTTCTTAATGTTCTCCTATGAAAGCCATAATTATTGTCACCATTTACTTGTGAATGGTAAAAGCTCCTTTCAGTTACTCTGAGATACATACACAAAGATCCATTCTTCTGCTTGGCCATTTAGTGTCTACTGTTCTATTCATTTCACCTGCAGTCCTGTAAACAGTAATGTCATAAAAATTATCATGAGCAATTGAAAAATATTAATTGTTACTATTAGTGTGGTAATTTTATACATCACACATCTTGTATATGCACTCAATTGATGTAACAATAGCATAACATTCACTTCAGAACCAGCAGAATACCAACATATGAACGATGTTGGTTTGGTAGAACAGAGAATAATATTTACTTGCAGACTGTACACACTTGACAAGCCTAAGTCAAGGATGCAGAACAAATCACAAAATAAACACCTGCTTCCAATATAAATGTAAATATGAATACATACATCTTAGACAATAATAGTATTTTACCTAAGTACAGGTATTCCATGTGAGTTCATAACACGATTTAATTTGTATCCAATTAAGTAATTTAGACAGGAGTCAATTAACGCCATACACAGTAATGCCAACTCTTTGCAGGTTGACTGAGATTCTGGGCATCATGGACAGCATAGTACTGAAATGCTTTAGGACAGTCATTACTTAAAAGCCTAGTTTGTTTCTTGTAATTGTGATAATTTAAAACTGATTCCATATTTTTTATAACTGTAAGTTTAGC